ACAGGCACCCGCCACAACGCCCGGCCATTTTTTGGTTGCAGCCATCATTGTTGTTTGGCGGGCCCAGGCTGAGGATTCGAACCCGCACCTTAGGTGTATGTGGCTGGCACCTTAGCCGCTTGAGCCACAGGCGCCGAGCCACCTCTCAGGCTTGTTATAGGGATTCAAAGTGGTGTTTATAAAGTACCTGTATCTATTATGATAAATAGATACTGGGTTTATTATTATTTTTAAAATTAATATGACCTTTGCTGCCAGGTGCAAACCATTGATAAGTATTATGAGAAGTTTGAAGTCGATGTTGAAAACAGAAGGAGAACTATTCTTCCTAATTGTTCACAGCCTTATAGTTTCTTGTCCTAACTTATTCCTGGGAGGATTGAATGCTGTATAATTTTGCCTGGTTCTAATTGTGAATTCATAGAATAATTCTTCCACTATACTTTGTACTTTGCATTCTCTGACTCAGAGGACGTGGGGGAAAAAATTCTTCCTGTGCACTTGAAAGGTAGGGAGGGCACATTGAAGTTCTCACAGTGACACACGGCTCTGTCCTACCGATGCCTTCTATCCTTGTGAAACTTTTCTTTTTGAAATAGACAAAGGTCTCTGCTAAGGACCCACTCACGCTGATCCGGGGGCAGGAATCCATTCAACCTAGTGGGCAATTAGAGAAATCTTCTACAGAGGCAAAATCTGTTTTGAGTGGTCAGCGCTCTGCTTTTGTAAATCTAAAAAAAGGATCTGTGGCAAAAGCTGAAGTTTTCTTAAAATGGAAAAGAGAAAAATTTGTACCGGGCTACCTCTTCTCCCAGTTTATTTCATTAACAGTGACAAACTGGCTGTGGCCATCAAGCGCTTATTTAAACTCAGTGGTAGCTCATTTAATTGCATGATGGCCTGATGAGACTGGTCATGTTATCTGTACATTACAGGTGAGGAATTAGAGGCTCTGAGAGATAAAGTTAACTTGCACAAGGTCACATAGCTGGGAAATTCTAGAACAAGACTTTGAAACCAAGTGTGCTTGACTCCGGAGTTTTTGCTTTTAACAAGTAGGCTTCATGGCTTCCCTTCATATTGCGTTAGTATTTCTATTTCATTTGTTTCTCTGTGGGGAGAATATAGGATGCTCAGAAAAGCCTCAGGAGCTATTTCAGTGAAGTTATACCTGTGGCTTATTATATGGCTTCTGTCTCTTCCTCTCCTTAGCTATGGGGTGCTGCTTTGGGAGCTTCTGACTGGCGAGGTGCCGTTCCGTGGCATTGATGGCTTAGCAGTGGCTTACGGAGTGGCCATGAACAAACTCGCCCTTCCTATTCCTTCCACATGCCCAGAACCTTTTGCCAAACTCATGGAAGGTAAGTAACCCCTCGCCCGAACAAAACTGGAGACAGTTTATGTACATAGAAGTACTTGATAGATTTTTGGCCCATTTGACAAGATCAGTTACTGAAAGAGGAGATAAAGTATTAGTCGTCTAAGGAGGAATCCTGAGGGCAAGTGTAAGAGCTGCATCAAGGTGACGTTGGTATCCCACTGCAGCCAGTCCCTGCTCTTCATCTCTGGGGAATGTGGAAGTTAACTTAGTAACTACAGGCTGTTATCCAGTGTTTGGGCATATTGTCGCTTAATACAAAATAAGAAGGTATAGCAGCTTTTATTTTAGGACTGCTGAGTGTCTTACGTACAGAAATGAAGACCATGTAATAAGAAAGGAAGTCATCGAAGTCATCTAGCCAAACCCTCTAATTTTCTAAGTGAGAAGTCCAGAGCAGAGGGAGGTTGAGTGGACAGTGGCCATCCATTGGGGAGGGGCCGGCTGGGGTTAGGTAGAGTTCGCTTTGCCTGACTCCCATGTGATGCTTTTTATCCTCGCCTCCTCATATTCCATTGGGTGGGGGAAAGCGAGGTCTAGGGTGTAGTTACTCATGGTCAGGACTTGAACCATGGAGTAGGATAATACAGTGAATTGTGACACTGGTACTTTATACAAGGACTTTTCTTTAAAAAAAAAAATTTTTTTAAGTTAAATACTTAATTAACAGAATGGAACAAGTATAGAACTGCTGCATTGTATCTCCAATTTCACTCTTTACAGCTGTGATATTAGGCAGCTCGTTTAATTTCCTTGGCCCCACTTGGGGTTATTAAGTTCCAGTCTCTGCTTCTGGAAGGAGAAATGAGAGGGAGTTTTCTGGTACGTGAGGTCAAGTCATATCCCAAGTCTCGTGTTGACCTCTGTCTGTTCCCGCTTTCTGTTTCTTCACGCCTCCCGTGCAGACTGCTGGAATCCCGACCCCCACGCACGACCGTCTTTCACCAATATCCTGGACCAGCTAACTACCATAGAGGAGTCTGGTTTCTTTGAAATGCCCAAGGACTCCTTCCACTGCCTGCAGGATGACTGGAAACATGAGATTCAGGAGATGTTTGACCAACTCAGGGCCAAAGAAAAGGTAAAAGTTTTAAAAAAGAGAGAGAAAACAAATCATACATTGAATGAATGGACCTTCTCCGCCGGGGCCTCTGATTGAGTCCGACCGCCTTCCTTCTCGGCATCTACCCATAGTTGTCCAAACCAGAGCAAGTGCACGACTGGGCAGGTAGCAGCTGGGTGTCTTATCTTGCTGCTGAAAATGTGAGCGGGTTCTGGAAACGTTTCTTGGTTATTTGGTGGACTTCTAGAGGAAGATTAACTTGAGGTAGGAAACTTCAACATTGAGAATAGTTACCAGAACATCCTGCCAGCGTGTTTTGACATCAGAATCAGAAGCAGAACGTGGGCTAGGACTGGGGTCTGAAGTTGTGTGGCATTTTTCATGTTTTCAGGAAAAGCATTCCGAGACTGTACCAACCAGGGAGTTCAGAGACTCCTAGCCTACTGGAGATCTGCCTTTCTGTTTCTGTGGCCCTCCTCTGCCTTCCTGGCGTGTCACTGGCAGTCAGTTTGCACACAGGTGAAGCCAGTTACAAGCAGTCATGTTGCTTATACTGTAGTGGCAGGACTAACTCTGAGGGTATAGCTAGGGGCAAAAGGGATGTTTGTATAGACTGGTTAATTTCTTTTTTCTTTTCTCACTCTGCACTATGGGCATTTGTAAAGGTAACAGCAGCTGATAATAATAGTAGCCAAAATTGTCTGTGGCTTTAGGTTTCCCAGTTTCTTCGTTTTTGTTCTGAGAAAGAATCTTACTCTGTTGCCCCGGCTAAAGTGCGCCTAGGTCATAGCAACCTCCAATTCCTGGGGTGAAGTGATCCCCCTGCCTCTGCCTCCCGAGCACTCACCTGATTTTTTCTATTTCTGCTCTTGCTCAGGCTGCTGTCCAACTCCTGAGCTCAAGGGATCCACTGCCTAGGCCTCCTGAGTGCTGGGATGACAGGCGTGAGCTGCTGTGCCTGGCTAGTTTCCCGGGTTTTTTTTAAAGGTTTGGATGAGACCTTTTCATTTATTTTATCCAGAGGTCTCATAGCTCCTGCCACCATTCTTAGGACAGTTGTCACCATTTCTATTTCAGAGCTGAGGGTTAGCAATTAGCCTGAAGTCACAGTGCTGGTAAGTGGGGAAGCAGAGCCATAAACCTGGACCTTCTGATTCCAAAACCTACATTCTTTTTTTTTTTTTTTTGATACAGAGCCTCAAGCTGTCACCCTGGGTAGAGTGCTGTGGCATCCCAGCTCATAGCAACCTCCAACTCCTGGGCTCAAGCGAGTCTCCTGCCTCTGCCTCCCAAGTAGCTGGGACCACAGGTGCCTGCCACAATGCGTGGCTATTTTTTGGTTGCAACCATCATTGTTGTTTGGCAGGCCCGGGCTGGATTCGAACCCACCACCTTAGGTGTATGTGGCTGGTGCCTTAGCCACTTGAGCCACAGGCGCCAAGCCAAAACCTACATTCTTCATGACATCATTGTTTTTTCCCTCTACAAATTACTTAAAAATAATTCTGGAGCTGATTTGAAGAGATAAAACTCTTTCTAGTGAACATAGCAATCCTAAACATAATACCATTGGCAGGTGAGTGAGCACTCTGCAGAATTGAGTGAGCTTCTGATGAATCTGGTGGGTGGACCAGTGCTGACTTTGAACAGTGATCATAAGAGTCTGTGCCTATCACCAGTGCTGTTCCTGCTAGAAGAACCTCCAGAGTTGCTGGCCTTTTTTAAATCACCGAATCACCCACTCTTTGTTACCTTTCTTTAGATGGATGAAATTTTAAGGGTAGTACCCAGTAAGAAAAATAAAAGTTGGATTTTGTCAGTGAGTTACCAGGAAAAGTCAAACTCATTCTCACGACAGCTGACTCTTGTAGAGCATGTGCTGTGTGTCATGCTTTCTTGTTTCTTTTTTCTTTCTTATAATTTATACTGTCTATGTCTACGATGTCAGTGCTATTAATTCCCTATTATATGGGATGCCCATATGAACTTATCCAAGGCCGCAGTGTTCACGATGGTGAAGTTGGGACCTGCATCTTGGGTGCCTTATTGCACACACTGTGCTATGACGCCTCTCTGTTGTACGGGGGTTGGGTCAATGAAAGTAAGATGTATAAGGAGTTTTCCCTTTGGAGTGACTCTTATTAAATCACTCTGTATGTGGAAGATGTGATTTTGCATGCTGTCCAACATGAGTAAGGATTCCGGTGTGTGGGGCTGAGACATACTCCACAGATATCCCGATTCACCATGTGGTTCAGCTTATTCTCCAGATTGGCTTAACCTACTGCTGCTAGGTATTGTGAGGATGGTTTGGTCTCTAGCCTGGAATTTGAGTTCCTTTGAAGGAAAGGAGCTGAGACCCAAATCGTGTCTTAGAAAATAAAGAATATCAGGAGATGAGCGTTTAGGAAGGTTGAAATTAGCTTGAACTTTGAAACTTTTCCATTGGATAGCAAAATCAACTAAGCAGGAATAATTTTTCTGTATCTCTCATGTGTTTTTGTTCTCCTAGTAGTGAGGCAGAGAAATCAAAAATGTGGAGGCCACACCACAGTCAGTTTGAGGCTTATTTTATGAGAGAAGGAGAAGTTCAGAAGTTCAAGTTTGGCTCTCAGGAACTTAGAATGCATCTGTGTTCCCGTAAAGAGGGATTGGATCTATGAAATTGTCCTGTCATTCCTTATTATTTCTCACTCATTCATCTGTTGATTCCGTAGTTGTTCCCCTGTGAGTACCTACCAGGGACCAGACACTCCTTCTCTTGTCTTTTCTCTCCTTTCTGTCGCTTTCATGGTTATTTTGACATTCCCTTGGGAGATGGAAGATAAGTTGAGTGGGAAGTTTATAACATCAGAGTATTTTATTTGTGTCTTGTCTCCGTCCTTGTTCCTGCTCTCTGCTGCTTGCTTCCCCAGTAAGTGTTCACATACTTTTTTCCTAGTTCTGGCTTCCCTTTCCACACTGTTTTAGTTCAGAATAGCTTCTTAAAGTGGCGAATTTCATTGAGAAATGAAATTTTGACCATGAAGTGTTGCTGTGGCTGCTTTATCGAGGCATGGCCTGCTTTCTAGACATGGTTGTCTCAGATTACTGACATTCAGACTTGCTAAGTTTTAGCCTTTCCACTTTGATCCCAGGCCCAGTGTAACCAGTGTTAACTGTTTAGATTTGAGATTTCAGAATTTTATGCAGGCAGTCCCTGAGTTACAAACATCTGACTTACATACAAGTCACACTTAGGGACAGAGGCTCTCACATGAAGTCCCCGAGTTACAAACATATGACTGACATATGACTCACACCTACAAGCAGAGGCTCTTACAGGTGATAGGTGATGTACCTATTCTGACACTCAGATTCAACTTAAGAACAAACCTACAGAGCCTGTCTCATTTGTAACCCAGGGCCTGCCTGTACACACATGTTGTTTTCATTCCTGTTTCCTGATTCTCTATTCCCTACCCTCTTCCCAGGATGCTGGGCTCACTTATAAACCCATGCAGGAAAAGGGAGGGAGGCAAGAAGTGGTTCTGCCCCACACTCTTCTCAGAGGAGGACAGAAAGATCTATTCTTGGGTCCCAGTATAAGATTCCAAGTGGA